CAAACGTTACTTTGTTCTTATTTCTTTGTTAAAAATAAAAAGCCATAATCGAAATAATTCGGCAAATATTCTCCGAATCAACCCATAAAAATGTATGGGTAAATCTTACTTCTTACTAATATATCAAATGTGAAATTTCAGATGGATGTTTGTTAGAGTTTGAAGCTTAACCTCTGAACGATCGATCTCGATAAAATTTGGTATAGATGTAAAAGATAGTCTGGAAGAACACATAGAACACTTTTGTTTTTTTATAATTCCACGCGGACGGAGTCGTGGCCGAAAGCTAGTGTTTAATAATATGTGAATTTTTGTAATAAAAAATGTTTTACATATTTGGCTGTAAGTCAGAAAAGCCTTTGCCCGCACGCAATGCATGTAAAAAAAGTCGAATGACAGTTGACAAGTTCGCTTCCCGCGCAAAAAACGCGCCATCATACAAAGGTGTATTTGAACATTAAAACATGACGTTGCTTTTACGATACATTTTTTTCTTGGAATTACCAGTCATTTAAAAATTAAAATATAATTTCGTATTCCAAAGCGTTGAATAGGACTAGCCCGTTTTGATCCGTTCGATTTACAACCGACAATTCCGAGAACTGAGTCGGGGAAGTAAAGTGAACTGGGGACGAGTTGGCACGTTCCCGCACGCTCCACTGCCGCCAAGTTTTACATCCGACGCGAAGCTATGCCCGCTAGATGTGCTTCATAAAAGAAAATTATACGACTGCATCCGTAAAATATAACCTCAAAAGTAGAACATCAGAATTAGATTATTTTCTTAAATTCACCACTTTTAGGTTATTTTTCTAACTTTACTTTTGTGTTTTATTCCTTATCTACAAATATTAATAGAAAAACTCGAATAACTTAGAAAATATAATGTAAGTAAGATACTAGTCTACACGCAGACATTTAAGACATATGTAGATAGACTGGATAGGGAACAGTTTTTTTTCACCGGTAACTTCTTTGTAGGGTAATATCTCAATGTCAAATTGACACACCTAAACGATTCTCAGTGTATAACTTTAAACTAGCGGATTATTCCCAAACGTCACCCCGCTCTGTCCCCAAATGGCAAGAGATGAGAATAAAAAGTTTCATCCGTCCCACCTTTTGCGACGAGGGGACGATTGAAACTTATTTTATTTCTTAACGGTCCATACTGTCACCTTATTGGTGATAGTGGGACTAGAGAGTGGGACGGATGAAAATTTTTATTCTCATCTATCGCCACGTGGGGACAGATGTCAAAGAGGGTGATGGTTGGGAATAATCAAACTATCTCTTTGTTTGTGATTTTGTCTATCGGTCATTAGGGCTACCTAATAAAGCTAGTAAAATTATGGTAGAAATGTTTCAAGTGAGTAGTCTATGCATACTCTATATATTGTTTGAATCTCTATCTACATAGTAGAATAAGCATATATACTTCTGTCACGTATATAATGTACATAGGCGCTCGGTTTACAGCGTGGTATATTCTCTAGCCGGGGGAGAAATCTTTAACAAGAAACGTGTTTAAGTGTTCACCTCTGGAGCTCAATTTTAAGGTTACAATTTAATGTACTAGCTTTCGCCCGCGACTCCGTTTGCGTGGTATTAAAAAAAGTAGCCTAAGTGTTCTTCCAGACTATCCTCTACATCTATGCCAAATTTCGAAGAGATCCGTTTAGCAGTTTTAGCTACAAAATCTAACAAACATCTATCCATCCATCTAAACTTTCACATTTTAATATGAGTAAGATATATGGACAAAGTAAATAAACAAGCATTTCACAGTTAGATGTCGTTTGATTAGAATCTTAATTTTGCAATAAACCGAACGATTTCTATAATTCTTTTATTACTAAAAGCTATATTATCACTTAATAACATGTACCATAGTAATAATAATTACTAAAGGTTATTCTAGTGATTGTTATCCCGAGTGAGTCGATTTCCTGTACACATATGCCGTAGGACGCATGCTAAACCGTATGGAAATTTGGTTAAATCTCAAGCATCGTAGCAAATTCTTCGTTTCATGTTAACCGCATAATTTATTACGAAGTCGAAAATGTACGCAGAAAACGTGAATTATAAAACTATTGAATAGTTCCGGTAATGAGGGGCTGCGAACAAATTACATCGCGTCATCAAAGCTAGCGCGACCAGTGTTGCTTGATACTATGTCACTTGGCCTCGCACAACCTATCACTAAGTACAAATTTAAATGTGCTATTACTACCTTATTCCAAAGTCTTAAAGTTGATAATCGCATGATAGGAGCTATATTAAAGAAAATGTTTAGGTATAATTATGGCTAGATAATATGCATTGATGAAACGAAGATCTTCATATGTTTAAAGTACATTATACAATAGGCAGAGCATATTTACGGCAAAAGGCATCGGTGACAGATTTAAATGTAATGTCAGGTGTGCACAACTTGCGTACGTAGAAGTACAGAATCCTAACAAAGACTAACAGAATCTCCGCAGACGCGAAGTCAATAAAACAAAGATTAAAGAATTATGCAGAAGCTAACATCTACATCTCTTTGTTTACATCATATCGCTACAGTATGTGATAATCTATACATCTCTATCAGGCGTAATAACTGAATTCAGTCTCTTCTTTTATCGTATTTTAGACTATCCATCCAAACTTTCTACCGTCCTGTGTGAATCCTTCATATTCTTTTAATTTGTTTAGCTTTTATATGTTATTTGCCATGTTTGATCCATGTAATTTGTTCTGATAGATCAAGTTAAGATTGAACAATAACTAGATTTTTTGATGAAAGTACAAGAAGACTCTGTCGTGAGATACGCACTGGCCACACAGCCCAAGGGTATGCCTCACGTAAGGTATAATTTCGATTATTACGAGTAGATTTTTGTTCCACATCAATGTCTGTTCGTAGCGCGTTTGGCCTAATGAGGCGAAGTATAAATGCGACAGCAGTGCTGCGCGGTGCGGCGGGCGGGGGAGGTGCGGCCTGCGCCCTCGGGCCGGGCCCCGCCGCCGGCCCTTTGACGCGCCGCGCCCCGCCGTGCGATGTGTTTGATCGCTCCTACTACGTTTATTATGATTTGATACTTTAATATAATAGTGTTCTTATTACAATTTATACACTACAAATTAAGGTACTAGAAACATTTAAAAACAATTACAAGCAGTAAATACACTTTTGATCAATTATTTAGATAAAATTCTGTACACCATATTTTAGTTATTATGTTTGCGTATATTTTTGTGTTTAAAGAAACATAAATTTTTGCTTTATATGATTAACTAAAATCCAAACAGTAAATAATTTAAATTAAAATGTCAAAAAATAAAATCTTTTAAAGACTTCTGTAAGTTACTTTAAAGCAGTATAACTTTAAAATTGAACGATGTTCAAAAATAATAAATAAATAAATATTAAAATATCAAGATGTATAAATCGCGCTACAGCCCGTCAGCACCTCGCTGGCACGGCGCGGCCCGGGGCGCTTGTACTACAACTAGGGATGTCACAGATGCTCGTAATTATTATTATTATTCGGAATTAAAAAAATATATAATTGTACTCATTTCTCTAATTACCTTTACTACACATATTATCTCCTATTTATTAACCGAAACTACAAGAATAAATCTTGTCCATAACATCAGTTTTCCGTAGTTTGTAGTTATACCACTATTAGTATATGTTACGTTTAACTCTTTCAATTTTATTAGTTTGAACATAATTTGTGTTAAAAATATGTAAAAGTTAATATTCAAAATTAGTGACAACCCTATTGACTTTATCTACCTACGACCGCAGAGTACACACGGCGTGTGCCGGCAGCCGGCAGCGCTGAGCACTGCCTACGTATTCCACAACATACTATGTATAGAGGTATGACATCATATACTATCCAAAGAGATATATCTCCAGGTAAAAAAGTGTAAAGCCTTATAACGTATATGTGTGAAATAAAGTTAAGAACTGATAAGGATTTCTGACACAGTCATAGGTCAAAGCCTGTTAATATCAAAAAAATATCAGATCTGTCATCGATCTGTATAAATGGATAGGTATTTATTTGAAATTGACAGATTTGTTCTGATTTAAATGCGCGTGAAAATGTCAATTATAATAGGAGAAAAATGGGTGCGCCCCGTACAGGAGTAGGATAAGGTAAAGATCTTCAAACTTCAACTAGAGTGGACAAAAATAAAATTTGTATACTTCGTACTGCAGAAAATATCGGGACGATTTTATAACGTCTTGTATTCAATAATACTAACAAATAGCACGTAATATTACTAGCGCGTAGACCTAAACTGAACAGTTCAACTGCACAGTTTTAACTGATCAGTTAAAACTAAGCGACTGTAGCTTT